TTTTTTTATTTTAGTTAAAAATAATTAAAACAAAAGTTATAAATTCAGAAGACGAAAACAGGTTGATTTTCGAAATGACAACAACTTTTTCAAGTTACGCGATATATTATAGTGCTAGCTTTTTTATTTTATATTCGTCTGCTTTTTCAGTGTGAGATTTTTGGTTAGGCGAAACTATTTTCATAAACTCTGATCCATTTGGCGTAAAGGTTTATTTATTTTTAAAAATTTTTGCAAAGGTAGCAAAATACTCAAAAAATAAAGAAGAAAAATTAACAGAAATCAACAGCAGGATAAACACTTTGTTTACTAAACTACACTGCATGTATTCAATATTGGCAGTACTAATTTTATAATATAGCACCAATATTATTGGTTATTTCTCTAAAATTGATCTTACCAAAGCAAAATTAAGCAATTTCATTGTATAATAGCTACAAGAAAGTTTTCTAGTTAGTTGTACGTAAATTGTTGTAACTACTACAAAATGTTTAGTTCCGACTAAAAGGACGTTTATTAACGACAAATATACTATTTTTTAAGTGTTAATAGTTTTGGTTAACCAAGAATATATATATTTGTGTTAGTTACTGCAGTGTGCTTATTTAGTATTATATAATCGTCTTCAATTGTAATACTTATTTATAAATACCTAAATTAAAGCTGGATATGACTCTATATGAAAACAGACATTAACTTATACAGTTACCTAAAAATTGCATATTCTATGTTAAAATTAGATATATATTTTTAGTGAATACAAATTTGATTTATATCACTATATCTTAGACATTATTGACTAGCATGAAAAAGTTTATGTCACATGCAAATTAATTCTTTCCAATATAATATATTTATAAATAAATGCATTTTTGAAGGAAATAACCGGTTATTTATTTAAATCATGTGTAATAATGTTTTTTAGTATTTGTGCGTATTTTTAGATATACAAAAGTCTGCAACTATTCGGTACTTGAAGCTGTATAAAAAATAAGTGACAGGAAGAGAGGTACCTTTTCCAGACGAATTTTTTATTCTGTAACGTTATATAACTTTATGTAAATTAATGCAACGACAAACCGTCTAACAAAACAATTAACTCGGACTATAAGGGCATTTATTAGTAACAAATATATTGTTTTTTAGTTGTTAACAGTTTCTGATTATGAGATATTTATATTTTTGGTGGTTATTTATGGAAAATAATGTTTTTTTAATAAATTTGTGCGCATTTTTAGATATACAAAAGTTTGCAACTATTCAGTTCTTAAAGCTGTTTAACAAAAATAAGTGACTGGAAGAGAGGTACCTGTTTCAGATGAATTTTTTACTTTGTAACGTTATATAATGTTATGTAAATTAATGCAACGACAAACCGTCTAGCAAAATAATTAACTTGGACTATAAGGGCGTTTATTAGTGACAAATATATTGTTTTTTAGTTGTTAATAGTTTCTGAATCTGAGATATTTATATTTTTGGTGGTTATTTATGAAAAGCACGCTCTATATTACAGAAACATCACAACTTCCAAGGTTTTTTGGAAAAAAAAATCAGAAATCAGTTAACAATGCGTCGGTTGGGGTCAAATAAAACTCATACGCCCCAGCGACACCGGCAGATAACGCGTCGCTGAAAAATTGAAAAAGCCTTTCTCTGAANTGTTTAACAAAAATAAGTGACTGGAAGAGAGGTACCTGTTTCAGATGAATTTTTTACTTTGTAACGTTATATAATGTTATGTAAATTAATGCAACGACAAACCGTCTAGCAAAATAATTAACTTGGATTATAAGGGCGTTTATTAGTGACAAATATATTGTTTTTTAGTTGTTAATAGTTTCTGAATCTGAGATATTTATATTTTTGGTGGTTATTTATGAAAAGCACGCTCTATATTACAGAAACATCACAACTTCCAAGGTTTTTTGGAAAAAAAAATCAGAAATCAGTTAACAATGCGTCGGTTGGGGTCAAATAAAACTCATACGCCCCAGCGACACCGGCAGATAACGCGTCGCTGAAAAATTGAAAAAGCCTTTCTCTGAACGCCGATCGCAGGGGTTGATAAGCCGTGATAAAACAACGAGTGTGAAAATACGCCCCCCTCCGCCCACCCTCCGGCCCGTAAAAAAGCGCGGGGGTTCTGTGTACGTCCTTATCGCCATGGCGACCACCCCGTGGTGCGGCCGCGTCTCTTTCGGCGACTGTCATGTCAATTCCTCCCGAACGAGAAGGATTGTGATTGCCTTTTTCAATATTAACCACCCTGAGTGGCGCGGACCCACGAAAAAAGCGGCGCTGAATTTTTTATTAGTCATGTCCGGACGGCTGGGGGAATTATATCCCCGACAAGGAGTTTTTGGAGTCGGTTAGTGGACGCGGCAGACCTGATGTTGAAATATGCGTTTACCAGGGCTAGTCGTTGAGTTGTCACTGTTTTTCTTTGTTACAATTTTGAGGTTACTTGAAAAAGCAGTGCTCGAAATGCAGGAATAGCTAGGATCTATCTATCGTTAACTAGATTGTATTGGTCTTTATCAAAGGTGGTGTTAGAACGAGGATGAAAGATATTTAGGCCAGGAAAAAGGGCTGGGAAATGACCATTTCGCAACTTTTTGTTTCGGCAAGCTGAATTGATCACTATAGATGCTAAATATTATGTACAATAACATATTAGTTTCCACAATCATAAAAATGGGGGGAAGATTGTTTATAGGCTCGTTAATTGTATAATTTTTATGTAAATTCACGTTTTTCGCTTGTAACTTTTTTCCTTTCATTTCCACGAGAAAACAGTGAAGTACTTTTTTTTTCGTCTTCAAAAGACCTCAAGCGTCAAAAAATATTGATTAGATCAAAAGTTATAAACAGAAGTTTATTTATGACTTTTGAATTAAAACATTATTTATAAACTGCGTTATTATTACCAGAACGTTTTGGCATTGCATCCTCTCATTCCTTATCACTGCCTAATAACTCACACGAAATCTGGAATCGGTAAGTTTTCAATGTATTATTATGAAATCTACCATGAAAAAAATTAGTGCGATTGCGTGGAAGATGCTCGGGATCGTCCAGACTAATAATTAGATAATTTGTTTATAAGGCCATAACTTATAAACTAGTTATTAGACAGTGATAAGGAATTGGAGGATGCGATGCCAAAACGTTCTGGTAATAACGCAGAGTATAAATGTTTAATTCAAAAGTCATAAATAAACTTCTTCAGTTTATAACTTTTGATTTAATCAATATTTTTTGACGCTCGAGGGCTAGTTTTGTAGGTCTTTTGAAGACGAAAAGAAAGTACTTTACTGTTTTCTCGTGGAAGTGAACGGAAAAAAATTATAAGCGAAAAACTTGAATATACGTAAAAATTAAACAATTAACCACCCTGTAAACAATCTCCCCCTCATTTTTGATTATGGAAACTAATATGTTATTGTACACAATATTTAGCATCTATAGTGAAAAATTCAACTTGCCGCACCAAAAAGTCGCGTCCAACTCTATATTTCCTGGCCTATATTTCTTTGAAATATTCCATTATTTCATGATTTTTTCATTACAACAATTATGTGGTTTCCCGCATACCTAGATTTATTGGTATCAAAGAACATTGTTGCCTCGAAAACTTTTGAACAAACATTTTATATTCATTTTCGTGTGAATTAAGTAAATATTTCTTCTTAATATGAAAACCTTTCTTGATATAACTATTAAATTTTCAAAAATTTCAATGAACTTGTACCTATATTGTGTAATATATATATATAACTAATTAAAACGCATTTTGTTTTAAGGTTTTTAAAAAAATTACTATTTGCTATTAATTATAATAAATAGTAAATAGAATGTATTTTATTTTTATTACAATTTTTTTAAATCATATTCCAATTTTCTTCTGAAAATTCCTTGCATGTAAAAATTTATTCGATAAATCCATTTTTTAGAATATAAGGATACACTTTTTAAATTTGTATAAATACAATATTTAAATATATTTTTCCCGCCCGTTTAAAAAAATTAAAAAATTAATTAAGTAAACAACCATTACGCTATAAGGATACGTCAAGGATTGTTCTTGGTATACAGCTTTTGCCTAAAAAAAAACTTCACACTGAAAAAACTAGACAAAAACCGTGCATCGCTAATTACTTGTCGTTAAGACAAAAATTAAAATATTTTTCGTTTCAGAATTGACGTTTGGTTTTCAAGGAAAAAAAGGAGCAGAAACATCTTTTAGCTGGTATTTTCGGAACATGGATTTAGTCATATTTAAGGTTTTTTCACAGGTGACAAAATATCTAATTAACAAAGGAAAACTGAAACTATACCTACTGCACATAAATACGTTTAGATAATCACTTAAAGAAATTTTTTTTGCCACCAGACGGTTTGCTACGGTTTTATTGTTTTTCTTAACTTAAACACACTGTTGTGTTGTACTTCTTTAAGTCTAGTAGGTACATACTGTGCTTCTCAAGTTTTTGTTTTCTTATTGTTTTTTTTATGGAATTAAGATTATTGTATTCGTTAAAGATAAAGTAGAAAATCGACTGTAGCTTTCTAGACTCTAAGAAATTGGTATTTAATACGTATTAAGTGTTATTTAAAGGTACTTTTACCTGCTGAAGATGCAATGTAAAATACTAATTAGGGGAATCCCAGGTAAACACATTTTTCTCTTCAAACGTTAAAATTCCATTTAAAATTTTTCTTTATACCAGGAATTTTACCAGGCTACAGTTTTTCATTATATTTGAGTTTAATGAAACCGCCTTGACTCTACTATAACAAAACAATAACAATATTACGAACAAAATGAATTTTAAAGAAATTTGGCAATTGCTAGTCGCAAATTTGTATTAAAAAAAAATTTGGAACATCAGTGAAAGATCATCTAAACGTACAGGTCAATTCATCTTATTTTCAAGCGGTGACCTGTCTGAGCAGCCCCTTCGACGAAATAAACAGATGAAATCATCCAGCCCTACCTTAAACAATCCGGAAAATAATCCATATCACTGCGGCAGGAACGCATGGCCATCTACGCCAGATAAGCAATCCAAAAAAGCCACTCGGAAACAGATAAGAGTCACTGAACGGTCTGCGATCAAGCAAGCGAAAACGTCACTCAACTTAAAAACAAAAGAGAGCAAAGGTGGAGAATAAGATAACACTGCCAAGACGTCGTGACACAGAATGAGAGTGAGTTAAAAAGATCAAGTCTCTTCGCTGGCTCCCGCGGTCTCTGCTGCCATTGGCGGCGGCGCGCTGGTGGGGGCACAGGTGAGAGACAGGTGACGGAGAGAGAACGCATACGGGCCGGAGCGAGGATGCGAGAGAGAACGGCGCGGCTGTTTGCCGATAGCGTTTTGTTTTTATAGGATTTTTAGATGCGGTGGCTGGTGGCTAGATATCGTAACGCTAACTGGCTGTTAGCGTATGATAATGTGAAATATGGCTTTTGGAAAGTTGGCTGATTGTGAATTAATAATTATGATAATGGTGGCGTTTGGTGTAATAACGCGTTGTGCAACGCGCGCCGCGATATTTTCGTGGATTTTTTGATCTTAGAAAGTTGCACACTTTGCAAAAAATTTGCATCGAATGTACGCAATTTATGTAATACTTCGTAACTCAGACGATACAGGGTGATTTACGAAATGCGGCGAAAAATGAAAATACCCTTTCTGCAAGGGTAGAATGGTAAATATGCCTTGTATAAATGGAGCAGACAAGTGAAAGTACAAAGTTTTTATTAACATTAATATTTGATATATAAAAATAATTTGCTTTAAATTAATAACAAAAATCATTTACAATCGTCTTTAAAAACGAAAGTGCAATTTGAGAAGGAACCTTTTACAGTAACGTCAGAAAAACTACCTAAATTTTCTTTGCCATCGAATAAATGTTGTTCATTTTTCCTTATAATCAATTCAGAAAAATTGTCATCACTAGTTCTTTCAACTCCTGCTATTATACCGAAAGTATTTTTGCCTACTGGTTACGCAATACTTCCGAGATGTCAGAAAAAATCACAATAGTAAAAGATTTTGGTACTCCAGTTTTTGTATAATTAATTTTTACTACAACAACGATTCCTTTGTCATCTATATCATCTATCGAGAGCTTTACCAACTCATCTCTTCTTAGTCCTCCAAAAACACTCATCACCAAAACAACCTACAATAACAAAAATCTGTTAAGTACATGCAATAATATAGCCAATTATTTCCTGCTTACTACCTTTTCCAATACATATGTATGACTTGATGCTGATGCTAAATTTCAAAATATCCCTCTTGTCAATATCTTTTTTTTTAATATATCCTTTCGATATTTGTTTCAAATAAGCCTTTAATCGATGATATTCTCTTACATTTACTTTCCTGCGTACTAATAATGTGGTCTTCAACATTGAATATTTTGTCCACAATGTATTGAATGATTCTAATTAAAAGGTAGATATATAAAAAATATAAATTATCAAACATTATAAATATTTCTTTACAGTGATAAATTGTAATACACACCAATATCCCATTAATATAGTTTCACTAACAGCTGTCAATAAATTTCTGCTTGTCCAAGTCTCAAAACATTTATATTTTTTATCATAAAGTAATTTAGATTTCTTAGGCAGTAATTGGCTTTATTGGCTCTAGCACTCTATCAGCAACTATTACTGGAATATTATCCATTCTGCCTTTTCAATATGTTTCCTGAGATTCAAACATCAAACTATCAAAAACAACAAATTTGCGGGTGTCGTAGATACATCTTGGACACATCGTTTGTATATTCATTCTCATTTACATTTAATTATTAAATTTAAAATAAATATGAAATCAGATGTCTAAGTAAAAAAATAAAACGTTGTATGCACCACGGGAAATACTAGGATGATTATGCCCTTAGGCGGTAATCATCCCTGTATTTCCCTTGGTACATAAATAACTATTTCTTCAATTGAGCTTTATTTTTCAGATATTGAGCTTTCAAAGAACAAAATATTGCGGAAGGTTATGTAAACAAAATCTTTTAATCAACGTAAGTAAGGGTTATATAATAAAAAAACACAGAATTTACATAGTAATCTAATTGTTATTTATCAGTTTTTGACAATTCTCGCTACTGCGCTTGTCGCTTTTAATTGTTACCTACTACTACAAAAAGGAAATGATATTTTGATAATGTAGTTCATCAACAAAGAGTAGCAAATATTATTTTTGTTTAAGGCTTTTACACAGAAATCTTTAGAAAAATGTCGGGAGATCAAAAAATATTTCGCAGTGTATTTTTGCTTTTCATATACTTCAACAGTGCTATATGTCATGCCCAAAACAACGTAATTATGGTTAATTTCCATAGACCGCAATTTTTTTTACAAATCGGCTACAGATCTGTTACGCAATAAAATGCATGAGCGTCACACAGTAAGGAAAAATGTTATTAACAATTTACGTCCCAAAAAGTGATTTCTTTTTTTTTCTTCAATATCTCGGTTGGATCGCACTCTGCGAAGAAAGCGATTTTATTTTGCAATCAATAAAAAAATGACAAAAGTCGATGTTTTTCTTAAAATTGTTGTCAATTTTCTAAAAATTAATAAAATTTTATGAACCTTTCGGAAAATACTACTCAATTCATGTAGAATAAGTAGAATAGAATATAATAGTGTAGAATAATTTTGGAATGATGGTAAAAATTTTCTAGATCTTGCATCTATACTGCATATAAAACTTCAAGAATCAAGTTAACTTTGCATAATTCAAGTTCATTAATTTTTCCGCGTTTGATAAGGTCATAGTTTTTTACGTGAAAGAAAAACTAAGTTTTTAGCAAGTAAGTTTGATGTAAGTTATCAAAAATTTTTTTACCATTTTTAGGTATTGATACAAGGAGAACTTGCTATACTTCAACAAGTTTCTCAAAACTTCGCTTGAAAAACCTTAGGAAAATGTTGCACCCTTACCAATACTAGCGTGTCACAACCAGGAGATGGTGTGCGAAAATCAGCATTTTTACGATTTTTTCTCGAATGACTTCTCACAATGAGCATGTATTTACGATACAAAAATCTCGCGCATTTTGAGACACAGTTTTCAACAGAGATTTTCTATTAATACGTGGTGTGGAATTTTCAACGATCGTCTACTATTAATACCAAGTAACCCACGATGGGATTCCAGCATATATTGTAGAATGATTAGACCATCATTTTAGTGTATGTTGGATAGGCAGAATTGGGTCAATTGAGTGGCCTGCTAGAGCGCCAGATATTAATCCACTTGATTATTACTTCTAAGGTCACATAAAACAAGTAGTTTATTCAGAAAAAATAAACTGATGTACAGCTACAGAACAGAATTACGAATGCTATACATCAATCTCAAACTAATAAAGATCTTGGTGCTAATTGATAGAATTGAGTTACCAGATATGCATTGTGGCTGGAACATAACCTGTAATGTAATAATGTTTTCTCTTTACTACTATTACTTTCGTAAAATTTGAAATTTATCTTTAAAGCTGTCAACTTTGAAAAAGAAGCCCGATAGATAAACAATTGTATTTCATCTTTTTTTGCTTTAAATGGAATCCTAAACCGGATGATTTAATTTTTCGCCTTCTGGTATAAATTAGCCTGTACGTACATACTGTGATATTTAATAAAGGCGTTTTTAAATTGCTGTTAACCAAGATGAATTTAATTAAGAACATTTAATGGCGTGCCAATGTTAATAAAGGAGATTTTTTTATCGAATATACGTACCTAGTGGCCAAGGTTTGTACAGATGCTTCGTTTTTCTCAAAAATGACACCTGTTGCTTGTTTTAGCGACGTATTTTTAATGACGCGCAATTATCTCGGTAATATTTAAAATTATTCATAAATAATTACCAATTAATTTCTCAGGCGCTAATTAAGAACGTTTTGATCGTAATAAATCTGTAGATGTGAGCTTCTTGCTTCTTTTTTTTGCTGTCAGTATAAACAGTGTTGATGAGAAAAAACTACATAATTTTTTATAACTTGTAAAATGTTTTTCTAATTCTATGCAAACTAGAGAGGAAAATAAAGTAGAACTCTCAAAATTGTGCAAAAATTATTGAAAATATTCAGTCAAAAGTCTCAGTTATTGCTTGTTTTCTAAGACATTATTTTGATGAAACTATCTGTTTTCGTTGTCAAAACTTTACATAAAATTACATCTGTTTTTTGTAGAGCGACATATTGATTGAGTAGCTTTTTTTAACAAAAACCAAACTTTGATTGATCCTTCTGGTGCAAAGTTTTCTTCAATTAATTCTTCATGATGTTTTTGAGATTTGGTTAAACTTAAAATCTGTACGACCAAAAAGAGATATCCGGAAATGCTGTTTTCCTGTGCAAAATTTGAAAAATATTTCACATTTTCTAAAATATGTCTGAAGATGTCTGATCTAAAGTGAAGAAACTTAGGATAATGATTTATTTAATTAACAAATAAATACCTGCTTGGAATTGGAGTATAAATATATCAACCGTAAGTTCTATGGCTTCAGAAATTTCACGATACTAGGTGTTCAACGCGAATAAAGCAGCCAAGATCCAGCTCATAACAGTGGATGAGGTCTGCTGGTTACATTTTCCTCAAAAATGGCAGGCCACAGGAAATACTTATTTTTTATTCTAGGATGCGAAATATCGCTTTTGAATTCAACAACTAAGAGTTCTTTACGAATGTCAGAGGATAAAAAAAAATTGACATTTACGGCAAGTAATTTGACCTTTGAGTAGGATCGTTTAGATTTTAGTATTCCAAGAACGAAGCCATTGCCAGTATTAATAATTTATTTTATTATATATTTTTAATTAATGTTATAATTTGTTTTTTTTGTTGTTTGTTATAATTGTTATTATATCTAATGGTAGCTATTAGAATATTTGCATGAATTAGTTTTTGTTAATTTGTTTTTTTTTTTGAGTAATGCTGTGTTCTAGGTGCATCCATCAGTTTTATTTTGTTACGTATTGTTTTTTTTTCTTCAATTTAATACTTGTATTGGATTGTCCTGTAAATGCTTACCTATACTGTTGGACAAATAAAGTGTTATTATTATTAATAAAAATTTTTCATATTTTTAATCACAATTTATTTATAAACTGTTAAATATATTATGTAATTCATTTTCTGT